ACAAGGAGCCAGAAGGAAAGCTTTGAGAGGTGAAACTGGGGAGTCAGGAGTTTGTGTGACATTTGCTTATGGAAATGTGAGGCTGTGGGAACCGGTCCGCCTGAACCCACGGCGGACACGAGACGGAGAGCTGGAGGAAAGAGTCGCACAGGATAAACGAGCGATTCGGCAAGAGTGTGGAACTTGTCACAAGGTGACATGTTTGAGGAGGTTTTTCCCGAAGGCGGCTGGAGATCACGACACCAGCTGTCCATTGACATTTTCACAGTCAACACAAAGCCTGGAGGCTGTTTAGCTACAGACTAATGACGCCAAAGGCTCGTTTGAAGCATGAAAACAACATGCTTGAAAGATAACTTGAAGTGACAACCACAGATTGTTCAAGAAATGATTAGGCTTTATTGTAGCACCCTCTACTGGACAAGCGGTGTCATTAAAACCCTGATTTTTACCTTGAATATTATGGCGATGGGAGCGTCTTCAGACAGCGTGTTGTGTCTCAGGTAGAAGCGGCCTTGCTTCACGATCATGTTGGTTCTGCTTTTCTTCTCATGAGTGGAGCTGGAATAAAAAAATAAAATAAAATAAAAATAAAAAAATCAGGCTTTACAGCATTGGCGGCGCTTTTATGAATCATGCTCTCACCGTTAAATTAATCAGACGTTCAAAAATACAGAAATTTCAAATACGCCTACGCTGTCCAAATCTCAAACTCTTACAAATCTCTTATACACCGAATTATAACAATGTTTTCATTTTATTACCCAATACATTAAAGTGGGATTATGAATGAGGAATTTAGCTTTGAAAAAAAAAAAAAAAAGCAATAACCAGAACCCCAGGACTGGAATGATACAACTTCTACATTTAGCTTCTTCCTTTCATATCTCCAGACCTGCAGAGATGTGAAAAGACGTTGCTGACATCTTTTGTCAAAGAAGAGTAAATACAAAAGGCACCGTTAAGATTTCTTAATTTATTAGAAGAAATAAAGCTTCCCAAACCAACTTTACCCCATGTGAAAAGTAATCCCCTCTAAACCTAATAAAGTTCTTTTATTACTGAATGTGAGAAATTGAGGCCAACTCCGTTTGGCAGCTTTACTTTATTTCAACCACACTGAAGGTTTTATTGGATTTGTGTTCTATTTATTATATTTTCTGAAAATAAATACCTTTAAAGCATAATCAACCAAATTTATAGAAATAAACACTTGAAATATATCACTGTGTGTGTAATGAGATTCACTTTTCAATGATATTCAACTTTGTATTCAGACGCAGTTTTAGTTTTATTTGAATCCAAGTACTGATCTGAGGTTTTTGTTTAGCAAGATGGCACAGGTATATTTTAACCTGGTGACTGAGGCTCCAACTGCTCCCTTCCTGTCCTGCTCCACGATGATCCGATTCTTGGACAGCTGCTCCTGGATCAAGATGACTTTCTCCTGGCCTTTTACGATGAAATAACCTCCTGCGAGGCAAAGGGAGCAAACCTACGGTCAGTTCTGTTCAGCTCGGTTCCCACCACACGGCCGCACCGACGCCGCACCTGGATCCAAAGGACACTCGTTGAGCTTGGAGAACTCCATGGGCGTCTTTCCCGTGAGAACGCAGTTGGAGCTTCGCAGCATGATCGGCATCCTGACGAGAGCAGAATCCAACACGTCCGTGAAAACATTTCAACATGCCGAATCCGCGACAGAAAAGAGAGAGCCCACACCTTCCAATCGGAAGAGCGTTTCGGATGATCCTCTGGCTGCCGCGGGTGTACTCGATGTCCACCGTGATCGGCGCCGAGTAGGTCATGTCTCTGAGGCGACACTGACCAAACACATGGGATACGGTTTACCAGCAAGAGTTCCTTCAAACTGTTCAGCACTTTTTGTAACAATCTCACAACAGCTGCTGTTTTGGAGAAATAGTTATTACAATCCGACTCCTCTCAAACTCACTCAGCTTCTTCTGGCTTTCTCCTGCTTCCATCACATCCACTTTTACAACAAAACGCTCATCAGCTGCTTAATTTATCCCAAACACTAACAGGGACAATGACGAGGAAACAGTCAGGGTTACTGATCTCACCTGTCGGTGGTTGTATTGTTCTGCCTGATCGCTATCTCTCAATCAATTAAACATATTTTGTGGTTTATTACCATAAATCAACTCTTCAAGCGTCATTGGCAGCTTCTAAAATCCTTTTGTATTTCACACAAATTAAGGCACACCAAGATTATGACATATCAACTTTTTAAAGATAAAACTCCACAAAAAAAAAAAACAGGAAAAATGTTTTAAATATATCTTTATCCTACTAAAGAATTTGTCAACAAACTAGTCATTTAAATATTGTGCTAACCTCATGAGGAGAAACCGGTCTGGTTACGTTGAAGCTCTCCTCGACATCAGGCATCCCAACGTAGATGTTCAGGTACCTGAGCAGAAATTATTTAGTTTAAAAATCAGATCTGCAGCTAAAAGTCGCAGCGGTTGAATCAGGAATCGTGTGGATGGACCCGGCTTACTTCAGGTACCACATTGGATCAGCATCGCTGGTTATTTTCTCATTCGCTTTCATGATTTTCTTAATCTGGAAAAGCAATACAGTCAAATTAAGCTCAGAGTGGGATAAACACAGCTGTCAATAAAATAAATACACACATAAGCATTTTGTGTTTAATTTTACCTCAACATTGATGAAGTAGTTGAATGAGTCGATGTGTTGCTTCACCAAACCTTTCACCTGCAGAACAAATGGGATGATGGAGACGAGCAGAAAAATAAATCTGGTCCATTATCAATAATAAAGTATAACATAGTCAATTAATTTAACTGTAAGAGGAGAAGAAAAACACAAAATGACTGATTTGACTAATTTGAGACTTTTATAATGTACTAACATTTAAACTGAATAGATCTGAGGTCATTAAGTAATGGGATAGAGAACAGGGTGCGTGTTTTTCAAGAAAAAAGCTCAAGAAAAAACGTGTAGTACATCACAAACTGGACACTTAATTTACATTCATGTAATGGACAAATATCAAACATTATATGAAATGTAATTAAAGAAAAAAGATTCAAACTTTTATGTAGATAATAGCCTGTGTAAATATGAAGATAAATTAAATAATTAAATATTAAAATATTTAAAACGGCTGCAGATAGTCATTGCTTCCAAGTCGTATTAATACAGTTGTTGTGGTGATTTACCTTCAGGAAGGCTGGTAGCAATTTCCACTTTTCCTGTCAAATAAACCAGAAATATTAGAAAAGTATTTTCTTCAACTTCATCATGTATATTTGATTGACACCGTGTTCAGATGTGAACTAATTTGACTTCTTTCTGCCAGTAACATCACACGCTCCTGCTGCTCGTGGTGGAAACCCATCTCTCCCACTGTCCTCAAACTCACCGCCACGGTGTTGACAGGAGCCGCCAGCTCCTGAGGAGTCATGTCTCCAAACTCTCCTCCCAGCAGCTCCATGAGTACCGCTGCTCTTCACCAGTAAGCACATAAAACTGGAAATAAATGCGAGCTGGAGCAAAGAATCGGAAGTCTCTGCAACATGCGTCCCGACTGTGTTACTTCTTAAAACTTCCCTTCCGAGGTGGGCGGAACTAAAGACTGCGTTCCGCTTCGAATGAACTCTTCTTCTACGTTTTAATTCCACCGGTTTTATCCTTTTATCATATTGCAATGTGCAGCCCCCCGTTGTTGCAAAAACGCAAATTCTGCCACGAGTTGTTTGAAACACGTTTCGGCAATTAGTTTCAACAATCACCGCAAAAAAGTATTTTGAGTTTACATGATTATGCATTATATCATAAAAAACACACATAGACAAACATAAGACAACCATCATAGACAAAACCATAAAATACAACAACGCCTTTTCCAACTATGCCATTTTCTTGATAAAATAAAAGAAAAACATCCACAAACACATTTTCCAAAGGAAACGCAGTGGTTTCTGTGCTTACTTACCCAGTCTGAGAAATTTTATTTAGGGGCAATCTTAATAGCAGCTCTCAAATCAAATTAGTTAAAAAAAAAAATTGAAGCAAAGAAGGATGTGTATGCCAGAGTAAAAACTGAAAACAACACGCTTTAAATTATGAAATGAGCAGCAAAAGAAAAAAATCTGAAGATATAGATCACTTTTAAAAAACAGAAAGGTAAGAAGAGGCATTTTATTTAGAAACAAACCAACTATATAACAGTGATCTAAAGCGACTGATGATAAAAGTAGTTGGATCACAAATCTACAGTCAGCAAGAGGAAGAGTTCAGACTTTCTGTTTATTGTAGACCCAGTAAAACATAATGATGGCTGACTGAAGAAACAAGAACATTTTTACTTTCACCATCGGAAGTTGCGTTTCAGGAAAGAAAAAGGAAGAGCGCAATGAATATGTCTCAGTTGACATCACAGGAACTTCTTTTATCTTTAGCCTAATGCCATTTGAATGATAGGACGGTGCAGCAGATTGTTAAAGTGAGAAGTATCAATACATTTAATCTAGAAATAAGTTCACTACACCTTCCAGTCACCAGTGGTTAAAAAAAAAAAAGCCTTGAAATGAAAACCCCTTTCATTGCAAACGCATGAGCTCACACTGGAAAATAATTGAAAAATCCAACATTTAATTTGAATGCATTTATTTACTTTGAAACAAATCCACATTTAGAAGTAAATGTTTTCTAAAGGGGAAAACAAGAATGAAAAGATCACAATTATTTCACATAAAACAATTAATACAAAATGAATGAAATGAAGCAGATATGTTTAGGTTTTAGTTCTAATGTTTATTCCTGCTTCTCTGGGCTAAGAAAAATTTCCTCTAATCCTCTTCAAAATGGGAAAGACAAGACAACATGTTGTCCAAGTAAGGCAGACGTGACTTGATATTTAAAAGTTAGAAATGAAAAGTTGAACATGTGATCAGTTTAAAATATGCTCAACTTTGACTAAAAAGTTGAATGAGTCTCCAGTTTTCGTATTTTTTTTACACATAGTGAAGAAAGTGATCAGATGTAAAATAAATCACCTTGTTTAATGAGCATCTGAGTGCTTTGATTGTTGTACAGAAAGGGATAATAAATGTATTTATTTTGTTTGAAAAATCACGCTACATGATGCTACAGTACGGTAGATGACCTATGACTCTGTGGGCCGGCTTCTCTTCCAAACGTCATGGGAACTTTGTTAGGAAGGCAAAACAGAACATTTCAAATAATAAAATCTGATTGCTTCTACCAAAAAACTTCAACAGGGTGATCAAATGTCCTTAAGTACAAAGACAATAATGATTTAACACTCTTTAAAAGAACATTTTATACAGTTAATGCGTTTCTTTTTATACGAACTAATATTTTTGGATCACTACAACACTGACGATTACTTTTATTCATGGCGATGATTAATATAAGGTTCTTATATAGCTTAACACGTTACACTTTTTCAAATAAATCCTGTTCCGCCATTCACACCATCAGAATTGTTTCATTAAAAGCCTTAGATACATGTTAGAATCAGAACAGACTATGATTCTCCTGCTGGACGTAGATTTCACCACCTGTCTTTGGGTAAAGACCGCTTGAGCCGCAGCTGGAGTCAGTGCGCGTGCTGGCTGACGTGTCTGCTGTTGCTGCTGAGCAGATTGGGGTACGCCGTCCCCAGGCAGCGGCCCTTTCTGACGACCACCAGCTCCATCTGACACTGGTCGATGTTGACCAGCACCGTGGTGCTTCGCTCTGTGTTCATGAGGAAGACGACGGTGAAAATGGCCATCTCAAACTCGGGGCTGGTGCCGATGAAGGCGCTGCCGACGGGCTTCACCACACCGTGCCAGCTGAACTGGAGCTTCAGGACGTGGTCGTCCTGGTCAGGCTGTGGAGGGAGCGACAGGTCACAGCGGGTCAGACACACATGTCTCCCACATGCAGTGAACTTACCAAGTCCTGGTCTCTGGCCGAGTAGCCCTGGTAGCCCTTGTAGTCCAAATGGCTGTTTTTCTCCTGCAGGAAGAACTGGACCCAGTTGTGAAAGCCGATTACTTCTGTTCCAGATTTGGTTTCTCCAACAAAGACGTGTTCAAATCCACAAGAGTCAGGGCTGCCGTGAAAGACAAGGAGCATTTCCAGACCGGTCTCACAGACTGAGATAAAAAATAGACTCATCTGTTGACGTTCTCTGGACTCTCACCCTGTGTTTCTCTGCCGGTGGTAAAGATGGAACCAGATCAAGTTGAGCTGATTCTTAAACTGCCTGGAGTCGGAGCTGGACTTTCCTTTGCTCACCAGGTACTGGTGAGCACGCTGTGGAGAAATCACATTCGTTAATGCAAAAGGAGGCCGTGCAGGATCCTAAAACTTCATCTGTTTGTGAGACCATAAGCATCTGACAGGTAAAAACCGATAGACCTTCATCAATATCTTATTTTCTTATGTTGTATTTGTTTTGTGACGATCAGAACTGAGACTTTTAGATTCTTAATTAAATCAACTCCCCAAAAAAATACGCACACCCCTTGAACTTTTTCAGACTCTTCTTTACAGCATAGCTGAAGGTCAGAGGTGATGGGAAGATGGCTGGTGGCTGCGAAATATTTGAGACAGGGTGAAAGTTCAATGATCCTAAAGATATCGCTTAGATAAAATCTTATTTGTGTCTTATGATGGCCCAGTCAAAGTCCAGATCTAAATATAGCTGCTTGGCTTTGTTGTGTACCATTAGCTGTAAACTGACAGTGATTTGGTTCTATATTTTCTCACCCCAAATGTTTAATTTTATCAAAACATGACCATAATTGCAAACACCACATTCTTCTCTCTCTTATAGAGAAAGGGGAATCTAAACTCTCGTCAGAGCCAAAAGTTTTGCAGATTAAGTACTGAATGTCCAAATATTTCCAGCAATCCTGTTTGGGGACAGCATGGAGGCAAGTTTGCATTCCACAGCCGCACACAGATGTTTCAGCTGTTTGTTATTTTTCACTCTAACACCATGAAGTTCAGCGTTTCGCTCCTGCAGGGACAGGAAGAGACAGCTGCAGCCTCAAACCACAAAACAGCAAAAAACACAAAGAGGTTTTCTTCAATCTCTGGGAAACTTTAGGCATCTGGAAAACACAACAAACTTGTACCTGTTGTAACTAATAACTTGGACGGGCTGTTAAATCCAGCTGGCTGAACACACCTTCATGACTTGTGTCTCTAAAACAGCATCCAGGAACAGATTAATCTCCGTCAGCTCCTCTGGAGTGACTCGCTCTGTGATGCCTGTCGAACGCTCATAGTTGTCCAGGAGTTTCATGAAGACTGCAAGGGCACAGAAATGTAATTCATTAAAGCAAAATGTGCTGCATCTTCACATCAGCTCAGAGATGCAGAGGGCTCTGCATGGGACACTCACGAGAGAAAGTGGTTATGTTCCTCAGTTTGTTCTCGTTAACGTTGGAGAACAGAGGCAGTGAGGCGTGATCCAGGACAACATGGCTGCCCTGGTTCACATATCCCGCTCTGCCCTGCAGAGGTGAGACACAGAGAGTTTCAAAGACAACCAGGAAAGCTTTGTGATCGTAGGAAGAAGCTCCTCACCTGAACAGAGATAGTGTAGTCTATCCCAGGCTTCATGCGGTTCACATCCAGCCTCCAGAGCTCGTTGAAAAGGTTGGATAACTCCTGGTTTACAGCTGGCCTGTCACAGAAATACATAAAAATCTGAGTCAAACTAAAACAAATGCATGAGAAATGTGCTCATGCTTTCATTGATTTTTACCTTGATGCATGAAGTCCACGGACAAGAACCGCAAGCAGGAGGAATCCACAAAGCCTGCATTTCACACAGCTTCAGTCAACGCTCTTGGTTTAAAACTTAATATTTTTTGCAGCAATGAAGTTTAAAAGGAGGGAAAATACATATTTATACAGACCTTACAGCCATGGTGCCAGAAACTCTTCACTACTACAGTTCACACTACAGCAGAGCGTTCACTAATGTTTGACTGAGTCCAGCTTCCTCCCAGTATCTAACACTCCGCAGGGGTTTAGTGAGGAATCTGGACGTGAACGTTATTTTTTTCAGAGGGGGAGTAATGTGTAACCACCAGGGGGCGCTCTGCTTCAGGATATGGGTTTCTCTCTCTCTCTCTGTCTCTGAGGTTTAATATCCACTTTCACATGAGATTGTTGGCCTACATCAGACAGATATTATATACTCTTTTACCAAAACAGTGCCTTTGGGTCTTAATGGGACACGCTCAGATCAAATTATAACAGAACTAAACTACAACTGCAACCGATCCCAGTGGTACCAGTAAGAGGGAGAGGGCTGGAGTACAAAACCCTCCCCCATCTAAGAGACAAGAGGACAAGCTTTAATGACTTGAGGCTTTATTTACACCAGCATGACTATTTTTCTGTCCTTTTAAGTGTGAATCTTCTGACCCTGTTCCTCAAATGATACGTATCAGAAAGCTGCAGCATTCTACTTCTTTTATTTTAACCGGACCTAAATTTCCAGTAGTACTACCTAAATACATCTCCTGCGATTCTGCTGCGGCTTCTGGTTGTTGTGTCCTCTCAGTGTGAGGCGGTGCATGTGTTTAATTTCATAGTTTACAATGTCTATGTTGTCATGCATGCATGCATCACGTTGGATTCCATCAATCAATTTATGTTGCATTTTACCAAATTGGAACTAAGAATTTACACTTACAAGGCAATTAAATAAACTGCATCATAGATGGCTATGAATCACTAAGGTACATTTAAAACGATTCTTAGTTTTGTTTTGTAACGTGATAGCTTATTTATGTCTTCAAATTATCCAGCAGGATTAGTTTTTGTGCCGTTTACAGCTTGGAAGGGAGGAATTCAACAAGATCTGCAGTTTGACCTGCACACCTGGGCTGAGAGAACAGCTTTTAGAGCCGAGGCCAACGATTCCTCCAGCCAGCAGAGCAGACGGAGCCTGGATCTGAAACCAAAGTCGGTCCCAGAACGTAAACAGTCAGCTGATCCAATAGTAGCAGCTATTTCTGTTCTGTTCTGTCTGTAGCAGTTCTGGTTAGATTCTGACTGATCAAAGGTGGATCGCCTTAATTTTTTCCCCCCTCTTGACCCAAATTTGTCTCAAAGCTAATTCAGATATTTCAAAACTCCAAGCCATCAATAAAAACTTTAATTTCCAGAAAACAACTGATAAACATCAAACACTTTGTTCAGCTAATAATTCTCTGAATGTCCATTTTTCTGAATTTCTATAAGTAGTTAGTTTCATGCTCTTTATGCAACATGCCGTTTTTGCATAATTTAAAATCAATTAGTATAATTACCACCTGGCTCGTTCTTATTTCTGTTAGTGAACAGCTTTGGCAATTATTAGTTTTCATGTCAGCTTTGTGATAAAAGTCTCATTTGCTTCCCATTTGAGATGTGCTACAGGATAATTCCATGATTAGAAGAATTTACTCAGATTGTTTTTGATAAACCAATCTCTGGATTCCAGAGGTATCTGACAATTCGCTACACATTTTCTCTGCATCCATTTACTTATTTGCACTAGTCTGAGTGAAGAGCCCAGATAAGCATGCCTTTCTGTAGTTCACTGCTTTACAATGACAGCAAATTGATATAAATCACATTCTACAACTTGAAAGCCTTTAAAAAGTTTTTAAGATAAAAAAAAATGTAATTCGATATTTTGGTTGTCAGGAAAAATAAGCAACACTTTCAGTTTTTGGTAGTTTATTTTGTCCCCTGGAACAAAACGTAGGTCGACTTAAATTAGTCTATTGAGCTCAATAACTGAGTTTAGAAATGTATATCTTATGATATAATAAAGAATCAAATTACAATATTTAAACAGAAAAATGATATTTTCTCAGAGTACATGGTCGCAGGAACAACCCAACAAGTTTCCAAAATCCTTCCAGGATGAAGAGTAAAATACAAACGTGTTGAATTCAGACATCATGCATCATAATATGATCTTCAGACTGGGTAATTCGAATGTAATGTATGTGCAAATGCATGAGCATACAAATCTTCATAAAATAGATAAAATACAAGACCAATATCGTTTAATCAGCAAGGTTTAGTTGTGTAGAAAAAACAAACAAACATAGCAGCTGCAGTTATTGTTTTAGACCTATGTTCAGCATTACTTCTTCGGTTCAGCAAAGTCCACGTCTTTCTTTCAATTTTTAAAGTCAGAAGGCAACTAAAAGTCATATATTAAAATATATAAAATCATATTTTCATGGCCTTTTCTTGCTGGTTGACGCTCTCAGAATCAAAACAGAGTTTCTATATCAGAGTACAAAATATTTCCAGAAACCAGCTGGCAGGAAAACAGTGGTGTCATCCTATGTGTTCCCTCGGACATCAGTAATTGTGACGAATGGACTGAAAGGCTCTCGCCATGACGCTCCGTATAACTGAGGAAGCTGCAACACTTTTGGCTCTTTAACACTAAAAGGAAATGTGGGTCATTAGCTGGGTTTACTGGTGCAGCGTGCAGGAGAGGAGGGTTGGCCCAGAGTTTCATTTACAGCAGGACCAGGTCTGACCCAGGCGCTCTCACGCGTTGGATTCCTCATCCGTTACGCTGGGGTTCGGAGAGTTCGACATCTCTTTAAAGAATTCATCATCTTTCAGCATGCTCTGGAAAAACACAGGGCAGATGGAGACATCACACCAGAAGCTCCTTAATGAAGGATCACTTTTGATTCCTGTGGAAGTTCCTGGACTTACCGTCAGGTTCTGGATTCCCTCAGAGAAGGCCCCGATTTGTCTCACCGTCCCCTCAGAGTCCTCCATCTGCACACAGAGACGCTCAACTTACATTGAGGGAACTAAACACAGCCTGACCAAATCCCATGACATGAATACAGCGTCTTGTTTATGATGAGTCTGAGAACAGCCGTTGTTCTCAGACAGATGTTCACTTGTCTTAAATCAACTTTGAATTTAAAATTCAATTTAAAAAAAATGAATGAAACAGAAAATCTTAGTGTCAGGAGCTCACCTGCTCCAGCCTGTCCAGGTCGTCCTCATAGATCTGGAGCTCAAAGCCTTTCTGGAAGCTTCGACCTTTTGGCATCTCCACATCCATTGGGCACACATACTCCTCATTTTCCTCCTGCTTCTTCTTCCTCATCCCAAAGTTACCAAATGACAGCTTCCTTGGCTGGGATGAAACAAAAATAATAAAAATGAGCAAAGTTTGAACTTATTCCAGCTCTCCAAACACAACCACGTGAACAAAACAAACCTTGACTTTAGTGGTGGCAGTGAGCAAAGTGTAGTCTGGGTTCTCCAGACACTCCTGTTTGAGCTGCTGGGCCTCTGAGCCAATCAACAGACTGAAGTGTGTGGCCAGGTGGCGACGCAGCAGAGTCTTATTAGGGGGGATGTTCAGCAGCAGAGCCATGGTCTCCACATTGAACCGGGGCTCCAGAACCTGAACAGATGAACACGTGTTGGGAGTGGACAGGGCAGAGGTCATTTCCTGCCTCGCGCAGCAAAGGGAAGTCAGAGTTCCTCACCATCAGGCCTCCGTGGACACCGCTGCCTCTGAGGTTGGGAGCGTACTCGGCGAGGTCGACGGATCGAAGCCACTCCATCACCCTGTGGTTGGTCCACTGGGAGATCTCTGCAGGTGAAATGTTGTTCTGCAACCCACATGCAGAGACAACATAAATAAACTAGAAACCAACATGGATGTTCATTTACAGATGTGCATGAGAAGAAAAAACCCAGGAGAGAGACAACATGGAAACTGACCCAGACATTGCACAAAAAAAAAAAAAAACAAAGAATGTTGATTGCATAAATATTGCTGCTTCAAATTCCCTTGTGCAATGTTGTACAATTTTGCACCATTTAAATATTTTTATATTTATTTTCATACATTTTATATCAAATATTCCAAATAAAAGTCCAACTCGTATCTATTGCTTTTAAATAGCAGGCAATCTCACTGCTTCAACTCCGAACACAATCATAACAATATTATACAGAAGTGATAATGTTGCTGTATTTTTCAAATTAATATCAAAAACAGTTTATTCAAAACAAAAAAAACCTATTGTTGTTTAGATGCTTCACTGCATTCTCTTTATCCTCATAAAGATTCTTTTCTGACTAAAAAGAGTTTATTCAGCCCGTCTCCTCGTTTATAGGTAACGTTAGCCTGCGACGTGTACCTCATCTGACGGCCTGCGGCGCAAACAGTTGGGCTCATAGTTGTTGAGTCGAAGAACCTGAATTGCTCTCTTGATGCTGAGGTGATGCAGGACGCTTCCCACTTTCAGGGAGAGCAGGTCGTCCTAACGGACAAAGAAACCAACGGATCAGTACGGTTTATAAACCTATTAGTTTGTAAGTTTGAGCTTTCAAATAAAACAACATGGAAATGCAACACCAGCTACAGAAGAATTCAACAGCAGCAGCCTCTATAAAATGTCAGGCTCTTGTAGCTGTCGCAAAATCAAATTCAAACACTCTTCATGTGTTACAAATCTACTCCCTAGATAATAAAATCGTTATGTCACTCATGCACGAAAACATCAAGGCATATCAATATGAGGCAGCAGGAGCGCCATCTGTGGTGCATTCTTGAAATTACAGCTTTGTCTGCTGTAATTTAATCGGGTCGAATAAATTGTTTTGCCACAGTTTTGATCCAGTGGAACAAATCCTCCACTGAGAGAGTTGGAGTCCTCAAAGTCCCTCATTTCAGCAAAGTAAAATCTGTCACATAAACTCACCACTGTCATGTAGTGAAGCATTCGACCATCAACTCTGGCTTCATCAAACTGGCTTTTATACTGAGGAAGACCGATGTCGTCCAACCACCCTGACAGGAAACGGACAATAAATACATTATTTATGCAACCACAGCATATAATAAAGTAAAACTTGAATGTAAAGAAGACATTTTTAAAATAAAAACCTACAATAAAAACACATAACTTGACTTACTAGTCACCCAGTTGTAGTCCAGCTTTCCCTTATTATCCTCCTCCTCTGAGCCGAG